ACTCCTGAGCTATCTCGATATAACACTCCGCAGGCGTACCCATCACGTGGTCCGCCAATGCCGCCGGCTGAGGAGAGGAGAGAACAGCAGGGACGAATCCCCGCCGCTAATGTGCCACCTAGGCCAAGTAGCCAGCCGAGATCTTATCACGGAATCACCCCAAGATCTGTAGATATGGGAAGAGGCCCACCGCCTGGAGATCCCATCTATGGTAGGCGAGAAGACGCGCGACCGCCTGGCCCGGCGGAGTACAACCCAGAGCGACCATCCCGAGCTGTTCCCTATGAAGACCAGCGTCGTTTCGTTTCTGAGAGAGAAATGAGGGAGCACATGAACAGAGAAGCGGAGTTTCGGGAAAGGGAACGAAGAGACAGGGAGAGGATGCATTACGAAGAACAACGAACTTTCATGGCCGATAGGGAACGTATCGAGAGAGAACGGGAGAGAGAGCGCGAAATAGAAAGGGAGCGAGAAAGAGGAAGAGAGCGAGACAGGGAGAGGGAAAGAGATATGGAAATGCGCGAAAGGACTAGAAGGGAAAGGACCACATCCGATCCGAATCGTCCTCACGTCCAACATCTCGGAGAACCCGGCCCTCAGATACTTTCGCGACAGCCACCATATGGAAGATCTGATCCTCGAGATGCAGCGCCCTGGCAGCGCCCTGGGTATGATCAACCCTTACCAAGAGATGCGTATGGCCAAGCATATCCTGGTCCACGGCCAGGCGAATTTCCTTCGACTACATCCGCACCGTACGCAACGCATACTGCATACGCGCAGGCTCCTCCCCACGAACGGTTTCCAGCAGCTGGGCCGCCCCATGTGATACCAACGACCCAACCGGGCGCACAGCCTACTCATCCATTCGAGTCTCCTGAAAGGCATCGCTTTGTCCAGGCACACCCTCAGCAGCAACCGCCACCACCAGCAGCTCATCGAAATCGACCCGCCGAGGAAGGCCCGCCTCCTCCTTCAGTTGCATATAATGGCGGACCTGGTTCAGCTGCGTTCGAAGCAGGTCGACGTCCGATAGATGATGGTCCAACCCCCCCTGGCCATCAAAGAAGCTTCCTCGGCATTCAGGAGATCAACCGTAAAGGCCGGGTATCTCCGCTACCGCAAGCGGTTCAAGGAGCGCAACCACAGTCGCAGGGCCCCGCTGGTGAACCCGGGATTAAGAGTGAATTCGGCCGCATGTTCTCCGGTATAGGAAGCGGTGTGCGCGGTATCGGTGTCTCTAGCCCAGTGCCACCCGGCATGCAGCCCCAATTCTCCAACACAGGCCCCTCGCGACGTGATGATGAACATCCCGGCCACGAGTTACTGGCAGACGCTCCCGCGAAGACGGGCACGAGAGGCAAACGAAGGAAGGCTAAGGACGAGGACGGCAAGGGCGACGACGAAAGTACTGGCAGGATCACGCCAGTCGGCCGGGCCAAGCGGCCCAAGACTCACGCTCATCATCATCACCACCAGTAAGTAGCAACTCTCATCTTCCACGTGCTTCAGCCGATATTTATTATATTATCTTTTTTAGTCATCATCATCACCATCATCATGGCCCGGAGAGAACCACTTCGCCTGTTCAAGCGGCCAATGGGCAAATAAAGAGTCTCAAAACTAACACACCGATACCATCTCCAACACGTAAAGACTTTACCGCTCTCACTCATCATCATCCACCTCCTAGGTCAGTCGCAGCACCGTCTTCGAAGCCAGCGGCCCCTGGCTCGACCATCATTCCGAAACCGAAGCATAAGATTTTGTCTCAAGCGGTCCTCGATAGCGTTGCGGATCGCCCGCGGAAACATCTCGGCGATGTCGTGTATCAAGTGGTTTTGAAACCCAGCAAGCTAGACTCATCACATTCTAAATTCGGTTACTCATCCAACCCGCGTCCACTCCCCATGGACGTAATCAAAGGCAATGAGAATTCGACCTTGACTGTCAAGATCCCTCGAGTGCATCTAAGTCCGTCCGCTCGCGAGGAAATTACGTCCCGCCGGGCCGTCTGGGGCACGGACGTCTATACGGATGATTCCGATGTCGTTGCCGCGTGTATCCATGCTGGCTGGATTCGGGGTGAATGGGGCGATGACGTGGACGTTGATCTGTTAGATCTGTACAAGCCGTCCAACCCCAAGAAGCAGCGTTCGGTGCCTGCTGAGCAGCATCTCGAGGTGTTGACATCGCCGCCGGCCTCCGGCCCCGTTCATGTACCCGCGGACCGTGATCTGCACGTGACGCTTCTCGTTCTACCCGCGCTTGAAAAGTATAGCAGTTCTACGCGCTTTGGTATCCAGAGCCGTGAATTCGGTGGGACATACAACGGACGCAAGTCAATCCACGATGGCATTAGCTTTATGATCCAAAGCGTGCGTTGGGTAGACGGTGCGGCGCCACAGAGTAGGCTTCGAGGCAAGGCACGTAGGGAAAGGATTAGAAAAGCCATGAGTGAAATCAACCGGAGTCAGTTGGTGGATATTGGCGAGAAAGAAATCCTAAGCAAATTGGCAGCGACAAGGGATATTAGCGTCGGCAAGGAGAAGAATAGTGGGAAGTCGGTCGACGGTAACGAGGAAGGCAATAAGGAGAACCGCCCTGAAGCTGTGCCGAATGGTAGTATTCCTACGCCAGACCAGGAAAACCTTAGTTCAGATGCGAACGCGGATTTGAAAGGCGAAGTCGGGGAAAGTAATGTCTCTGCGGAAAGTCAGAGTACGAAGATGATAGATGCTATTGCTACCATTGTTGCCAGAGAACAACTGGAGAAACGTGGAGTGGATGAAAGTGCGAATGCTTCTACGTAAACATGGGCTCCGAAGTCGTCGGCATGACGGGCGAGAAAAGCGACAACTGGGAACGGATTTGACTAACGATATATGGAATATTTGAAGCTAGAGCTGGAAAGATGTATATTAATGAGATCTGATACAGCGCTACCTTTTCCCTGTATCTCTTACGTCGTGGACTTCAAGATACCTATCTGTGTTGCTCTTTTATTTATCTAGGTACCTACCTACCTACATAGCATAGCGCGGAGTCCAGAGCAACAATTTTGTGATTACAATATATAATACGGTCACCCGAAATTGTACCTTTGCATGATTGGCGATCACTCAGCAGCAAATCGTAGATATGGTAAGGGGCGGCAATGGATTTACTTCTAATGTTGGTTACAGCAACTATTTCCGATCATTGTGACGTGTCATCTTGACTCTCTCATATAACGCCTACTTGGAAGCGAATTGGTTTACAAGCACAGAATTCCTATAGAGCACTCTCAACAATGGTACACAAACATAAACAATCAAGTTGCGGTATCCTGCCCCAACTTGAGACTACGTCGCCACCCCAAACATTCGGGTGGGTGGGTTGTTTAAATAGCCTCCGTCTAGAAAAAGCGCAGCTCTGATCAATTGTGAGGTTCTAGACTGCTTTGTCGACTGTATATCTCAGCAGAAACGCAGATAAGTCTTACTCGGAGAAGGGTAACACGAATGTGACTGAACCGACTAGAGTAAGACGACGATGCTGATAAATCGCCACCGGATTGACAATACGTCGTTATGCTTCCTTTCTTCCTTTCGTGACTGGTCGGGTTCCAGTTGGAGCAGCCAGGCCTTAGTCCACCCCGGCCTTTTTTTTCGTTGGATAAAGAGTTTCATGAAGGGCGCGAGTCGCATCTCTTCTGCGTATTAACCAGCACCGATCGTATCGTGTAGCGTTAAAGCGGCTAAGTGGTATTATTACTGCACCTCAAAGCGCAATCATCTAATGTCTTAAAAGTCCGTTACCCGCCCATTAAAGCTATAATCGCCGCCGGGCCCCCAGCGAAGGGGCTCGTTCTTAGGCCCTCCTACCTCGCCGGTCTTAGGGTTAACGTCGCCCTCGAACTCGGGTGGCGCGCCTTTCCGTAAGGGCACCGAGGCGAAGTCGTCCTCGATGGTCGGCGCAGCAGGCGTCAGTCCGTCCACTGCCGACGAGCTACCGGTAGTCAGGGGATTGGAGGCAGGAGAGCTGAAGTCGGGGGTTGAGGTAGGGTTGAAGCCTTCTTGTGTGTTGGCTGTGCGCTGTAGCCGCTCGAACTCGGCCTGTTGGTCGGGAGGGAGGCGCGGCGGAGAAGGCATTGACTGGAAAAGATTGGAGTTGCTCGAAGCGCGACGCTGATGTTGAATAGGGAGACTTGCTACCGGGAGGTGCTGCGGGGTGGTGTATGGTCTCGCAAGCCGTGTGAGGCGGATGAGGCGGGGAAGACGGGATGCCATGAAGACGGTTATTCGGTTTCTTGTGTGAAAGGTTCTTGAAATGGTAAGATAAGGTAATTGAGGAACGTTTGAAGCTTTCCAGCAGTTCCCAATTCGTGATGGATGAATCGTCACAAGTCTAGCGTGGCAATGGTCTGAGTGAAAATAGTAGGCAGGTGGTAGGGAAGAGCGCCGAGTTCCGGATGATGCTGGCCGAGCTTGTAAAGCTTTCCATACGCTACTATGCGTCTAACTACATAAATTAATCCGTAGTGGGTTACCGGTTTATCTTATCTCGGTACAGAGATTGAGGCAGCACCTTGTCTGGTTTCCACCCTTCAATGTTGAACTTTCCTTATTCTCTTTAGAGGATGGCTTCTGATTGGCTGGACACTTTAAGTACTATGTACATATGAATACGCATGTATCTGGACTCATATGTGGAAATATTAGTTTAGGTGTTAATTCAATCAGTCATAGGTTTACTATAGTAGACGGGGAAAGTATATATATTTCAGGTTTAATTTTTTTTTTTAAAAAAAAAACACTTATGCTAGGTGTGTGTATAATCAAGCTACAATAGTAAACCAAAAGAGAAACGTTAGTCCGTGTAGTACCGTGAATATTAAGATGATTCGAAGCTTTTTACATGGTAGCACTTGATGTTCAAAAATATCAAATACCTGATTAGGTACTACACGTGTCTATCGTGGAAGAAAATTTATTCAGCATGGGAAAAAGGGAAATCTACGAGCACAGCAGGGATCGAACCTGCAATCTTCAGAGAACAGTATAAACCATGAATGGAACCGAAATCTGACGCCTTACCATTAGGCCATGCGCCCTGAGCAGCCTGAGCTGTTGAGATACTGTCGGCCCTTGATTATAATTATGTATCCGCTGTTTGTGGGCACGAGCTAGACCATCACGGTGGGTCCCATAGAGACTGGACCCGATCGGTTCCAGACTCCTGAGTAATTCTGCGGAACTGCAACCATATATACCGGTATAGCTGTTTATTCTTTCACGTACGACCATAAGATCTGGAAAACTCGGGATCCCGTCCGCTCTCCCCTTTGGATAAACCAGATACTGCCAGACTAGTAGTTGGGTCGGTGACGACCAGCGAATCCCTGGTGTTGTACGTTTTGATGATTTATTTGTTTTGGTATTTTTTTTTATTCATGGTGTCTTGTGTCTTTTTGTAGGGGGATTCTCTCTCCTCTGGGCACTTTATGACTGAATTAAGGCATGGTAGGTACTCAATGACGTATGTCTTTTCTTTTCTTTTTCTTTTACTTGGAGAGACTAGAATGTGGTATTATAACATACCTGTGAAGTGTACCTGGTGTATGTGTAGATGATGATTACTCTCATATGAATAACGGTGGCCAATGAAAATTTGTTCATTTAGAACCTTTAAAGAGTGGCGTTTGTGTCTTACGGTAATTACATATGTATATATGTACATAAACAAGAAAATGGTGGGATGGTGGGATGCTATGGTGGTGGAAAAGAATGATGGACCCCTCCACTCCGGTTATCGCATTGGGGAAAATCATGTACCTCCAAGGTTGAACATGCGGGAACGAAAATACCTTGGTACATTAAAAATGTTGTTCATGTTGACTCAGACTGCAACTCGTCCTTAAAAAGAGTCCACTACTCGTCCTCTCGAGTTACCTCTTGTTTCTCACTCTTCCATTGATTCAATTGATCTAGTTTACACATCATGGAAGCTCTTAAACAGACCTTCAAGCGCTGCAAGGCCGAAAACCGGGTATGATTCAACCACTCTGTCTTCTTACATTGCGTCTATATAGTGAGATAGCTATGTGGCCATATCACTAAACCATCGCCAATTCTAGAGATAAACTCAATTACTGACCAAATATCTTCGTATATATATATAGGCTGCCTTGGTAACCTATGTCACTGCGGGTTACCCAAAGCCTGAGGATACTCCCGACATCTTGTTAGGATTGCAAAGAGGTGGTGCTGGTATGTTGTGGCGAATACACTTCACCGTGCCTGTCGACAGCAGCAACTAACCAAGTCAAGATGTAATCGAGCTCGGCGTACCCTTCACAGATCCGATCGCGGACGGCCCTACCATTCAGACGGCGAATACCGTCGCCCTCGCCAATGGCGTCACCATCAAATCCACCTTGGAGATGGTTCGCGATGCCCGATCCAGGGGGCTTACTGCCCCGGTTCTGCTGATGGGTTACTATAATCCACTACTCAGCTACGGAGAGGACGAGCTACTACGTGATTGCAAGGCCGCGGGTATCAATGGCTTCATTGTATGCGACCTCCCGCCGGAAGAAGCCATTTCCTTCCGAAAACTTTGCAGCAAGGGATCATTATCCTACGTTCCTCTGATCGCGCCTGCAACATCAGATACCCGTATGCGCCTCTTGTGCGCCTTGGCCGACTCATTCATCTACGTTGTTTCACGTATGGGCGTGACTGGTGCTCTGGGTACCCTCAATGCTAATTTACCAAACCTCCTCGAGCGGGTCAAGAAGTACAGTGGCGACAAGCCTGCCGCCGTCGGTTTCGGTGTCTCGACGCGTGAACACTTCCAATCTGTGGCTTCCATTGCCGACGGTGTTGTCATTGGCTCACAGCTTATTACCATTCTCAAGGAGGCCGGGCCGGGCAAGGGCGCTCAAGCTGTAGAAGAGTATTGCGCCCATGTAAGTGGACGGACGACGCAAGAAACGACGCGAGAGGTGGGTGTGGTTGAAGCTATAAGTGCAGCCAAGGAGCCTAGCGGTGAGAACGTGACAGTCAACGGAATAGTCTCTGAACACGACGATTCCGCCTTGGTTGCTCAACTTGCGGCCCTCCATGGTAAGATCCCCGAGCGATTTGGTGAGTTTGGTGGCCAGTATGTACCGGAATCTCTCATGGATTGCCTATCCCAATTGGAGGAAGGGTTCAATGCCATCAAGGACGACCCCAAGTTCTGGGAGGAGTACAGATCATACTACCCCTGGATGGGACGGCCAGGTCAGCTACATTTAGCTGAGCGTCTGACCGAACATGCCGGCGGCGCCAACATCTGGTTGAAGAGAGAAGACTTGAACCATACCGGATCCCACAAAATCAACAACGCGCTAGGGCAACTTCTTCTGGCGAGGCGACTGGGTAAAACCAAGATCATCGCCGAGACTGGTGCTGGTCAACACGGTGTAGCAACTGCCACGGTTTGCGCCAAGTTTGGCATGGAATGCACAGTCTTTATGGGTGCCGTGAGTCTCCTCCATTCTCCCCCGCCATAATCCGACAATGACTGACGATGTGTTATAGGAGGACGTCCGGCGTCAAGCATTGAACGTCTTCCGGATGCGACTGCTCGGCGCCAAGGTCATCGCAGTCGAAGCCGGCAGCAGGACCTTGCGCGATGCTGTCAACGAGGCGCTCCGTTACTGGGTCGTCCACCTCGACGACACTCACTACATCATCGGGTCTGCTATCGGCCCCCATCCCTTCCCTACCATTGTCAGAACATTTCAGTCCGTCATCGGCAATGAGACAAAAGCGCAGATGCAAGAGAAGAGAGGCAAATTGCCCGACGCTGTTGTAGCTTGCGTTGGCGGAGGCAGCAATGCCGTTGGCATGTTTTACCCCTTTTCAAATGACCCTAGCGTAAAGCTGCTAGGTGTTGAAGCAGGTGGTGACGGAGTGAATACGACGCGGCATTCGGCCACATTAACTGGAGGTACTAAGGGTGTCCTGCACGGCGTCAGGACATACGTGTTGCAGAACGAATTCGGACAGATCTCAGACACACACTCAATCTCAGCTGGGCTTGACTATCCGGGCGTCGGACCCGAATTATCAAACTGGAAGGACTCCCAACGGGCTAAATTCATTGCCGCTACCGATGCCGAAGCTTTCATCGGCTTCAAACTCATGAGCCAGCTGGAAGGTATCATACCGGCGCTCGAGTCAGCTCACGGTATCTATGGTGCCATCGAGCTAGCCAAGACAATGAAGAAAGACGAAGACATAGTCATCTGCCTTAGTGGCAGAGGAGACAAGGATGTACAGAGTGTTGCCGATGAGCTGCCCAAGCTCGGCCCTCAGATCGGGTGGGATTTGCGATTTTAAGGGTAGTCTTTGTAGATTTGGGCACGGACAAGCCCCTCCAGGGACTTCGGAATTTGGAGTTGGCGTGTAGGATCGAAGTGAAAACGATGGATATGATACATGGTATTTGGCGGCATATAGAATTGCGTCTAGATGTGTTTTGTACAAATTCATCAGATGGTACAATGCCAATGTGCTTCCTTCACCCAGAGACATTGATTTCCCATAATGTTGTAACGTTTCCCGTGAAGCTCGAACTGAACCTATTCGCTCATGATCCTAATGTCTTCGCATCCCCCTTAGGACTCTTTTCCTCCATGAAGAATTCAGCCTCCTTGGAAGCTTCTCCTGCCTCCTCGATAGTTTCGGCGTCTCCCTGGATAATCACCTGCTCACCCTCCCTAACTTCGCCTATCACGAATTCATCGCCGCGCTCTAGCATGCTATCAACCTCGCTCAGTACAGCCTCGGACGTACCTCCGTCAGCGGCTAGTTCAACGGGAAGTGATGTTTGTACTTCTTCTTTAGGGGGTAAGCCTAGCGCAGCCCGTTCTCGAGCGAAGCGTTCGCGAACAGCAGGCGTCTGCATGATCTTCCAGCGAAGGGCCCAGCCGGCGGGCCCCAGATCCTTGATTCTTTGCGCCTTGCTTCCTAGGAGGTACTCGTCGATGCCGCCCAGCCGGTCGATAGTCCGTAGCACACGCGCAGTCAAACGGGTACGTATGAAGGCGTTGAGGGAGGGCGACCACAGCCGCTTGGCATGGCGGTTAGGTAGCCAACTAGTGCGCGACTTATTACCGTGGTCCTCAGCCACAGTATTGCCGAAGCGGATCTTGGAGCCTCCAAATAGACCTTGGTTGGCCTGCTTGTACGTTCGGAAGCGTCCATACGGGTACTCGGGGACTTGGTCCGAGGGCACTGTTAGGTGCGAGGGTTTCTGTCTAGACAGAGATGTAGTCGTGCTTAAGGGTCGTATTATTTTTGGGAAGTAGCGTATTTCAGGGCATGTGAATGTAGTCGAGGATAGACAACATCTTGATGAGACGGTTGGAAGTCGTATCGGAGGCATTTTGTGAACTGATTGTAAGCTGATTGTGAGCTTAAGGTATTTTTTTTTTTCCCCTTTTCCACCGGGCCTGTTATAAAAGTAGCATAGATACCCTTAGGCCCGTGACTACGAGCAGTACGAATAGGATTGGTACCGAATTGGTTGTGAGCGTTGGATATGTAAAAGCTTCAAGGATATCCAAAGTGGAACGAGTGGAGTGGACGAATTGGATACAATTGCGAAGATTTCTTATCGGACAGCTTATCGATAAAATTGATTCCTATCGAGCTTCAATACAGGAGTAAATAACTTAATGAGATAATTATGTAACTATGCAAATTTCGACCTCTTCTCTCTCAATGATCTCATGTGACATCGCTCCATGTTCGTGATTTCCGGGGCTATTTTACTATCCTTATCAATTATCTTGGGGTTCACCGCCTTTAGTACGGTACCTACATCATACATGTATGTACCTAGGTACCTACATATATACATTGATGTCACTTAACCCACTACAGTCTACGGTACGCCATAAATATCGAAAGCAATCAACGAGATGCTGCCTCCAATAGATGAAGCAGTCTTGAAGAACAATCCCGACTTTGAGCGTCTATATAAGACCGTTACCGGCTCGCTTCTCAATGCCGATGGATCGACCAAGAGCAACGATCCAGCAGCTAGGAAACGTGATGC